TAGTTCTTATTGCCAGGGAGCATACTGAGAAAGAAACATAGAGTATACTATAAGTAATAGAGATGACAGTAGAGAGTATTACTGTAGCCAGTGTAATGCTTTTGAGATCACAGGAGAAGAATGTTAGGCTTCCTAGGGAAGGTTACAGTTGTCCCCCCACCCCTTTTCCTCAGTTTGGCTTTCTGTTGTTTTGGTTACCCATGGTCAATCCCAATCTAAAAATATTAAGACATTTTGAGAGACAGAGAGGGGCGAGAGAGACCACATTCATATAATTTTCATTCCAGTGTCTTGTTCTAATGTTTTGTTTTTAGTTATTGTTAATTGCTTACTAATTTTAATTTGTAAATTAAACATTATTATAGATATGTGTATATAGGAAAAACATGGTATAGAGTTCAGTACTATCCACAGTTTCAAGCATCTACTGGGGATTTGGAATGTATTCCTTGTGACTAAAAGGGACTACTGTATATTGGAGCTGAGTATTATGAGTAGACATCAGCCAGTCAAAAGAAAGGTGGCGTGAGAACCCATTCAAGGTTGGGTGGACTGTGTGAACAAACAAAAAGGTGGGAAGCAGCATGGTGTATGTAAAGGTTTACAGTTTGAGGTGTGGAATGGGGAGAGGTGAAGCTGGAGAAGTAGGCAGAGACCTGGTCATAAAAGGTCTTGATGGCCATGATAAGGGAACTTTAGCTTGACGGTAAACTACCGAAGAGGCATAAGAAGAGTGATGTGGTCAAATTTTTGTCTTAAATAGATCACTTTGCCAGCTGTGTGGAGGATGGATTTGAGGGAGACAAGACTGGAGGCGGTAGTCCAGGTGAGAGATGCTGGGGATCTGGACTAAGGCGTTGGCATTAGAGATGGAGAAGAGGGAATGGATTTGAAAAGAAACAAAACTACAGATTCAAAGTTTTGCCCCTTCATATATGATAAAACCAATTTTACATTAAAAATGAGTTGGGAGCAGAGAAACATAATAGAAAATATTGCTATGTGACATAGGCAACTAGATAATTTACCTTGGCAGACAACCACTAAAAACAGTCCCTATGATCAAGAAAATCACTGCTAGGAGAATAGTGTATTTTTTGAATCATCAACCTGGGCTGCTAGGTAGTGTAGGGTTCACTTGTTTATGTCATATAAGTTAGGAACTGAAAGGCCTTGAGGAAGACACGGATCTTTTAAAGGCTTCAACATATGGTAGAAACTCAACAAATGTGCAATGATTTTTCTAGGACCTTCAATTAAGTTATTAATATTTTATAAAAACCCACTGCCCAGCAAAACAAAATAGAGTAAGAAAAAATTCTCATTGAAATAAGGAACAGG